AAAGAGAGACAAGATCTCACTATGTAACTCTGATCGTCCTGGAACTCACTATGTAGTCCAGGCTGGTCCTGAACTCAGAGAGATGTGCCTGCCTCTACCTCCTGAGTTCTGAGATTAAAGGCATATACCACTACACCTGATTTTAGACATTAATTTTTTTTAAAAAGTACATTTATTTCTATGTGTCACAGTACGTTTGTGTTGCGGGGATATATGACCACACTGTGAAGCCTGAGTCTGTGTTAATTAAATAAAATCCACCCTGAGTCAGGAGGTGGAGCCAGTAACTAGCTGACAGAAAGCAATCATTGAGAGTCAGAGGGAGTCCAAAAAATGGATACAGAGATGCACAGGGAGTAGGAAGGAGGGACTTGGAGTGTGGCAGTACTTTTTCGTTTGGAACTGTGGAAGAGGCTCTCTTTCTGAGACTCTGGTGAAGAGGGAAGGTCAGCTAGTTCCTCCTCGATCTCTTTGAGCTATCAAGTTTTCATTGTAGCCTCTGACTCCTGAATCTTTATTGGTAAATAGAACAACAGAGATTTAGTTAAAAACTACATTTGGTGGCAGCAGTTACTGGCTGAAACAGTAGATTCAGGTGTGGCCTCTGTGCTGGCAGAAAAACATGTTTGTAAGTAAAAGGACAATTTGTGGGAGTCAGTTCTCTCCTTCCTATGTGTGAGCTCCAAGGGATCAAATTGTGGCCCTTATGCTTGGTGGCAAATGCCTTTACATACTGAGTCATCTAATAGGGCCCCATATTGTTTGTCTGGTGTATCAAGTCACCACTCAACTAAACAGATGTTAAAAAAGATTAATAACATACATGTTGAACCCAGAGTCCCCCGAAGACCATCAAGAGATCAAATCTGATGCAAAAGCAACGAGTCTTTTTATTGTTTCAAGTTAACCTGGGCCTCTCCCTGTGACACAACAGAGCAAGAGAGACCCTGAGTAGCAATGGGGCAGGGCTTTTTTATTTTTATTTATTTAATTTTGATCTTTTTTTTCTTTCATCTTTCTTTATTAAGAAATTTTCTACTTCATATACTATCCACATATCCCCCCTCCTCCTTCCTCCCACACCCCAGCCCTCTTTCCCAAGCCACCCCACATCCCCCAAATTGAAGTCTCCCAAGGGGAATCAGCAGAGCCTAGCACACTGAACCTAGGCAGGTCCAAGCCCCTTCCCACTGCAAGGTGTCACATCACAGGCACCGGGTTCCAGAAGCCTGCCCATAGACCAGGGATAGATCCCGATCCCCCTGGGGCAAGGTTTTTATAGGGGGTAAAGCAAGGGAGGGTCTTGAGGTCTACAGACTACATAGAAACAGACTCGGGATTGGTTTATGCGAGTGTCAATCATGTTAGTAACTTTTAATTGGCATGGGTTAGTTGGGGGTTACAGTTATCCATTTTTGGGCAGGCCTGGACAAGTCCTAGGCTTTGTCCTTGAGCTGCTGTGGATGCTGGCTGGCCTATCATGTACTGACAGTGGGGGCTGGCTCAGTGGCCCAGGCTTGGTGCATCCTATCTCCCTGTCTCTGTTGGCAGGGGCATTAGTGATTAATTGTCTTTTGTTCATGGCCCTCCCAAAATCTGTTTGCTCAGGTCTCAGGAAACTGAAATTGAGGCCTGATCTCTGAGAGAAGAGTGAGCAGCCTGTTATGGTGTCTGCTTGGTCCTTTCAGTACATAAAGGCAAAAAAGTACTTTCCCATTGAACAGGAACAACAGGTAAACATGACCGCTAGTGTTGTATAGCAGTTTCCTTCAGGAGGAAGAGGAGACTCATGAGACTCCAGAGGTAAACAAAACAACACACCTGAGGAAGTAGAAACTTGCAAGACTGTAGAGGGCCCCTCCCCAGCTTTATAGGAGAAAACAACATGTCTCCTGACAACAGTTCTCCTGGGGAAGGAGACAGGCCAGCCCACTGCAGAGAGATCCAGAGTGGCAGCTTGTAAGAGCTGAGGTGGCTTTCAGTGATGACCCTGCTTTTTGAGTCATCCCTACTCCTGTAAGTGACCCCATACCCATACTCCTCTTAGTAACCCCAATAAAAACTCACTGGTTCACCAAATTGGACTTTTGTCTGTCTTGGGCTCCCTTTCAGGGGTAAGTAGACGTGTGTATTGCATTTCCTCAGTTAAAGTTTGCCAACAATAGTCTCCACAGTTTGCTCCAAGTGGACCACGTTTTCTAGTATTCACATACTATCTCATCCTTTCCCAGGCTGAATTAGGCTGGCTCGGAATGACAAACAGAACACAGCACAAGCAATGCTGTAGACTGGTCAGACCAGGTCACAAAGCTTTTGTAGCTTCTGTTCTGCTTTCTTGAATCATGAGCACTGCAGTAAATGAGGTGCCACATCAGAAGCCTGGCTAAGATACTCTCGTGCTCAGAACTCAGAAAGGCTTCTCGTTGTTCCAGCCATACTAGCTATGGTATCAGCCATGTGTGACGAAGCCATTTATCTGTCTTCACTCTCTATTGCTATAGCAAAACACCAAGCCCAAAAGCAAGTCAGGGAGGAAAGGTTTTATCTCTGTTTATAATTTATCATGAAGGGAAGTCAGAGCAGGAAATCAAGGAAAAACTGAAGTACATGATCCTAGTGTTGTGACGCACAAATTTAATTCCAGTACTTGCACGGTAGAGGCAGAGGTAGGATCTCTGTGAGTTTGAGACCAGCCTGGTCTGTATATCAAGTTCCAGGACAGCCCAGGCTACACAGAGAGACCATGTCTCAAAAACAACAAAAAACTGAATTCAACAATAATTGAAGCAGAGGACATGGAGGATTGCTGTTTACTGGCCTGTTTCACATGGCTTACTCTGTTTCTTTCTTTCTTTCTTTTTTTTCTATATAACCCAGGGCCTAAGGATGGAACCAACAACAATGAGCTGGGTCCTTTCACATCAATCATTGTTTAAGAAAATGCCCCACAGACATGTCTATAGGTTAATCTGACGGGAGTATTTTCTCAATTGAGGTTCCTTCTTCCCAGCTGACCCCGGCTTGTGTCAACATGACAAAAAACTAACCAGCATAACTACCAGTTATCTACCCCAGCCTGCTAAGTACATCAGACATTCCCAATAAAAACTGCCTTGCTGAGCACAATTAGTCCACAGTATATGAGTGATAATTGTTTATTTGTCTTTAAATTTTTATTACTTTTTTACTTTTGGTGGGGAAGGGGCTGATCATGCTACCGTGGGCATGTGGAAGGTCAGAAGAAAACTCATGCGAGTTGGTGCTGTCCTTCTACCATTTATGTTCAGGGGTTGAAGTCAGGTCATTAGCTTGGGCAGCAGGTACTTTCTTTACTCAGGGAACTTTCTGTCTGTTACCTCCACCCCCATTTTGAGATTTAAGGTCTCACTGTATACCTCTGCTTGGCCTGGAACTCACTATGTAGACCAGGCTGGCCTTGAACTCAGAGATCTGTTGGCCTCAGTCTCCCAAGTGCTGGAATTAAAGGTATATGCCATCAAAATGGGTCAATTGTTTTTGTTTTAAATCACTTTTCGACTGCTGTGATAAAACATCATGACCAAGTCAACTTACTAAAAAAAAAAAAAAAAAGTGTTTGTCTTAGATACTTTTCAACTGCTGTGGTAAGACTCCACGGCTAAAGCAACTTGAAGAAAGTTTTATTGGAGGCATACAGTTTCAGAGGGTGAGTCCGGAACCATCATGGTGGAGAACATGGCAGCAGGCACAGGCAGGGTGCTAGAGTAGTAGTTGAGAACTTATTATATCTCGAGGCACAACCAGCAGACAGAAAAAGTGAGAGAGCTAACTGGGAATGTCATGGGCTTTTGAAAAGTCAAAACTCACCCCCCAGTGACACACTGTAGCAGGAATCCTAACTGGTCTTAATAAAAACCTGGAGCCAGGTATCGAGGTAAATGCTGAAAGATCAGAGAGACAAAGGAACAAGCCACAGCAATTCTCACCTCACCAACTCCTCAGCCGAAGAAAAGACTGAGCTCCTCCTGTCTCCACTCACCTTATATTCCTTTTCTCCGCCCAGCCATATCACTTCCTGTCTCAACTTCCCTAGTGCTGAGATTAAAGGTGTGTTCCACCACTGCCTGGCCTCTATGGCTAACTAGTGGCTAGTTCTGCAAACTTTATTTGTTAGCACATACACAAAATATCACCACATTTTACCTTTTTGTCTAAAATAAAAAAAGATTATAACTAATATAAGAAAAACTATATACAATAAGTACAATAACTATATACAATATATACAGGCAATAACTATATAAATAATGTCTAATCTATTAATACTTGACAAATTTGGAGAAAATACTCCATTATTTATCCTATTTTGATGAGTCCAAAGTGTTGTAACTAATTCATTTTCTATCCTAACTTGTATTATCAACCAAAAATTATCTTTTGATGTCTCTCAAACTTAGACACTTAACACCTCTTTATTGAATTTCTTTCCTGAATTTGTTAACAAGGAAAACAATAACTATCTAGTCTTCAACTCCAGAGACCCGAGAAGGAAATAATATTAACTAAGAAAGTAGGAAGTGCAAGCAAGTGATGTTCAAAAATTGTGAGAAATGACAGAAACAGCTAACTGCCTGGACAGAAACATGGCTTTCAGAGTTGGTGGAAAACATGCCTCCACCATGAGACTAGCTTCTCAAGGAACCAAGGAATGAAATTC